TTATTACAGAGCAGGGCTGAGCTGGCAGTTAAGAACTACATAATGGTGGAACTCTGAGTTACTACAGAAGGAGGGTGAGCAGAATGTTTTAAGTACAGTCAGGGCAGAATGTTCTGGGCATTATATAACTGGTTTAACCAAACCACTGTTACTCATAGGATTAGTGTAGCCATTTAAAATTAAGCTTACTGAAAATTTCAAAATAAAAGCCTGAATATTCCTCTCAGAATATTCTTTTTTTCAGAATTTCCTGATTTCACATCAGTAAATTGCTGGTTTGTGCTTAATGTGACTGGATTAACCAAACCACTGTTACTCATAGGATTAGTGTGGTAATTTAAAATGAAGCTTACTGAACGTTTCAAAATAAAAGTCTCAACATTCCTCCCATGTGAGTGCACCGCCTATGGCGGTGCAATAATATTAGCCTTTATTATCTTTTTTTTTCCTCAGGACAGTGAACTGCCTTGCACAGCTCATTTATATGCGAATATAAATGAGTCAGTTGACTCAAACACACAAAGTTTTAAGTTTTTAAGTCTTTAATTTATAAAAGTGCACAAAAATGACAGGTAGAAAATTGTACATAATGGGCCTGGATAAATGCACCAGAACCAAATCAATCCAGTTATCAGCAGGTGTTCCTATGATAAAGTTTACAAAGCTGGATCTTTTAAACAAGCATCCAGGTTTACTGTGCAACATATAAACAGATGGGAGCAAATTCCATATTCATATTTATATGAATTTATATGTCTATATTTCATCACATTTATGGAGATAAATCCCACAAAGCCCACAAGTCATTAAATGCCAACTAGCTGGTTAACTTTGAACTGGCAGTGCCTGTAATATCCACCGCTCTCCTTTTCTAGAGACGGCTCCACGGCGCAGTATATCGTGGTCTGAGCTCCCTCCACCGAGTCTTTGGTGAAAGGTTTGGTAATCTTCATGAAGAACCTCTTGGGGGCACTGAGGTGGCACCACAGGTCCATCTAAAAGATCGCCAGGGTGGAGGGAGTAGGTGGTCCCTTCAGAGTCTAAAGATAGACGAGGTTTAAAAGCTGTTAAAATTTTATGTAAAGTCTTAAAGAGCTGGTAATCAGATTTTAAATTGGGTAAGAACTAAAAACAAAAAAACAGCAGCCTCCATGTCAAAGTCTGACTTTCAAAGCAACCTTACCCTGAAAACATGACAAGAAATCTCAAAAACCCTACAATAGCATAAATAATTACAATCTGCCATTTTCCATCTTGCTAAGGGATATTTAAAAGTGACCTATAGACCCTTTTCACACGACGTCACAAAATTCCATTCTGACTCGATGGGGTGTATCTTTACTTCCGGTGTGATTTTGCCTCGGGAAACCTGACTGAAAAATTCACGGATACTCATTATCTTAAGGATATAATAAAAGGTAAGGTTAATGACAACAGCATTTAAGTGTTAGATAACCGTTATTAGTCATTGTCAATCCACCATTCTCTAACTATGTATAAAATAAACAGTCTCCGATCGGAGAGTAAACCAGCTAGCAGATACCAAACATAATAGTTTGGTATTATTTCAGACAACGCTTTTGTAAGTTGCATAACATATAGTAATACCGTCATATTCAGTATGTTTACTGATATAGTAATATTTCAAATACACTAGTTTGAAAAAAAAGAATGCTAATGTTGGATCAAAGGATCAGAGCAATAAGTCTGTAACAGGATTTTCATGCGAACAGAGATCCTTCCACGTATTACTCTTGAACAACACCGTCTCCAGCGGGGAGTTTAGCAGCGTATTAGCACCAGAGTTGTGGCATATTGTGTTCATCCGTCTTCGTTTCCTCTTAATGTGACCTAATTCAAACAAATGAGAATGTCTCTCTACAGTTTTAACCAGCTTGATTAAGACATTTGAAACACACCATTGGTGGTTCAATCCATCCGAGATCCTGTTTGGTGCTGCGACTGGGTGAAGAGCAGATGCTTAACATGCATTACTCTTAATATTTGCATGGGCTGCTCTGTAGCATTATGGTTTAATTATGTATTGGCTCCTACTTTGTGCTACTTGATTGTAACTAGTGTGACTTACTAGGAAAAAAAGAAATCTGTCTTATCTTCTGATGGCTTTATTGTTGCCTGTGGGTTGTTACAGCTATACAATCTGGCCACAACTTACTTTTTTTAACCTCTCCAACAGATTTCACCCTGACTTGAAGCTGTCGAAGTCGCAGCTCTTGTTGCTCCGGGCAGCGCACCCCCCAGCTGCGCTCCGCGACTGCATACAGGCCATCGAGACTGCAGCGGGACACAAATCCGTGGCCTCTGCCCTGTCCAGGCTCAGCCTCTACTTGTTGTTTAACAGACTGGCTCTCCCACATGTTCCCACCCACAGCTGCAGAGACATCCTCCAGTTGCTCGGCTGGCAGACAGTGTTGACCAGGTATTCTGCACATGCATTCAAAAAATATTCGTATTTGATATACAGTACTTGCGAATGCCCATGACAGTAAAATGTCTGCTGTTTCTGATCAAAACTGTGGGAATGATTATGTTTGGGAGTCCTATAGAACGCTGATTAAGTTGCATGTTTGAACAAGTACTAAATCTTTTTGTTTTTTTATCAAAAATCTTTGATAAGTCACAAGTAAAGCCTGGTGGCCTGCCAGGCTTATCATACACTGGGGGAAACCCTGAGTTTAAGGGGTATGAATACTTTTGCAAGGCACTTCTTGTACATCAGTTATCTTTCACTTTACTCAGCCATTTCCAATAACTATCTTGTTCCGTGTTTCTCTCCCTCCTGTGTCTTTCCAAAATCAGTTCTTGGTTTTTCTGGTTAATAAAGTTGCTTTGTTATGTTTCATCATAAATAAAAGTGTAAACAAACACAACAGGAAAATGTGTTGCATAGTACGTGCATGGAATATGCGAAAAGCCTTTCAACAGTGCCTCTCTTGCCAGGATTGTCACACGCTCTGTCTCTTCCTCCCTGCAGGTTTCTCCAGGTGCGCCCGGCCTCTGTTGAGGATGAAAGGTTGCTGGTGGGAATTGTGACATTTTTGAATGCCTACTTCAAACAAATTCCCACAGAGTGTACCTCTGACCAAGGGGACCAGGACCTACGCTGGATACTGGAGCTGCTTCTGAACCAGGTCCAGATCATTGACACTTTATGGACAAGCATTAAAGTAAAACCTGCTGCACCAGCATACTGCTTTGCTTAGGATTATGGTGCAAGGAAATAGTCACAATTTTTTATTTTATTTATTTTTTTTTTGCATCATGTTGTTTAAGTGATGCGATAGATGTGATATGGAACTGTTAGCTTTAATATGCGAATATAAATGAGTCATTTCTCATCAGTCTCAGCCATCTGAACCATATGTGCATCACATCTCCACAAAGTAGTTTTCTAAATAAGTTCCTCAATGCAGCTGCTTACAGTATATAGCAGCAATCAAATCCTGAATAAATCAGGCAGATTGATAAAACACCCTGAACACATTACGGTCTCAAAACAACAGAAAAACAGCTTTTCCCCTTAGACATGGCAGATATTATTTCCTAAGCTCTTAAAAAAATGTCGGGGCTCTTATTTCGAATTACCCGTCTGTTATAGTAAGGAGAGCTACTTTCTGTCTTCAATCAGTCTCACCTTGGTTTTCTCATTAATATGTGTGTAAACAATAAGTCCTTCCCCGGTGGCTAAAGAAGACTCAGATTTAATGCCTAGTAGAGGTTAGCCTCGGTGCTCTCCTCTGTTTTTCTGTAATTACTGAGCTGTTTCAGGAACATCTGTCGCCTCATATACCCTCGTGAAGTGTGCACTGATCAGTAATTTATTTATTTTTTTGCCATGTGGCAGCCAACAGATTGTTTTTTTCTCTTTTAAAGAAATACAAGTGTTTGGTGAAGCTGTGCTTACTTTAAAAAAAGAGCTACTTGTATCAAATCTAGAAGAAGCAAGAGGAGATTCCAGTATGTTCCTTAGGATTCAGACATTTTCAAAAACGACACAAAAATGAATACTTTTTTATTAAAAATGTCAAAATTGGTGAGAAAATTAAGACTCAGCAACTGTCACTCACTAATGATTAACTTCAAAACAAGAGCCAAAAGATAAAACTAACTCTGATCTCGATGCTAATAATTCAGACACAAACAATCTGAGTTGATTAAAACTGATTATAAATTTAAGAACTCTCATGAACTTATTGGATTTTCCAGAAACCCAAGGGGAATATCGGTTTATAACTTGTGTTTCTGGAGGGAAGAAAATTTGTTAACATTACCTCCATGACATATTAAAAAGAATACAGACCCTTATTCGAAGTCCGCCTTTTTACAGTTCCGTCTCTGATCAAGTCGGGCAGCATGACAGAAAATCTTGCAATGGTGACAACATTGATGAATATTGACTTCATCAGTCTTCATAAAATAGTCTGAAATAGTCCAATATGACTATTTTCCATCGTTCTGCGACTAGTGCCATTTTAGGCACTAATTTGTGTCCATTGTGAGCATCTGCTGCTGTGAAACTATTCCTAACTGCATAAAAAATACATTAGCAAGTAAAATGCCAATTCACAACACTCTAAATATTCTCCAAAGATTAGTGTAGTTTACAGTATCACTCTATCTTTAAAGATGTTTCCTATAGGCGTCAAAGATACTCTTTATAAGATTCATTAATATAGAAAAATAATATGTCACATAAGTCATAACTATTGTCACTGACAGTGTTTCCACTTTCCTTCATCATCATGTAATGCTCAGAGTTTTAATTACTGAAAAAAAAAAAACCTGTATTATATTATTTTGAATTGAGCAGATTTGCAGACAAGCCACTTAATTCATTTTTCAGTTTCTTTTCCATGGCAAAATTCTCACCCCGCTAATGTATTTTAAAATATTTAAGTTGAGTAAGCAAACTAATAAACACACTAGTAATCTGCTTGAATAAATAATTAATTTGGATAAATGAAAATGAGTTAGGAGACATTTAAATATTAAGCACAACATCAAATTTAATCAAATCCTACAAATTAATTCTGTTTATACACTAATTTCCTAGGAGACTGCTGCTCTTCTTCATTTGCTTCTTGGTATGGAGTCGCAGATGTTGACTCAGAGTTTAGAAGATCCTGAGGAGATTAAGAGCCACGTAAACCAGAGGCTGCAGAGAGAACTCATAAAGTTCTTTAACACGCTTCTGATCAGGCTGTCGAACACAACTGACAGGTAGGTTAATATCAGACATAAATCTGTTATCTTTTACTTTAACTCCCTAGAGTGTTAGTCCATCACTGTTTGTTTCAGATATAAAAAGATCAAAATGGTAAAGCTTGAACAATGAAGAAAGAAACCATCCTCTAATGTTTTTCATCTAACCTGCTGTGTAAGAATAGTAATAATAATTAAAAAAAGGGAAAGCGTACTAACATCAGTTCCTAATTTTCCTTCCACTTTATTTCTGTCGTCTGTTTTTCTTTCTCCTCTGCCTGTCTGCTTTGCTTCTTTTCTCGCTGTCTCCTTTCCTGTCTGTCCAGGCTATGTTTGGCATTAGCAGGTCCCTTTAAGAGCCAGCTGGCGCTGCGCTTGCTGCAGAGCTTGCGGTTGTCTGATGCCCCGCGTTTCTATGGCCTTCCCAGCCTGGAGAGGGCACTGCAGGGCATGGTCAGCCTGACTTCCCAGCCTGGCTGGAGCTCCCACTGCCCTGACCTGGAGCCCAGCTCCCTCTGCTCCAAATATCTCAGTGGATTATTAGAGGTGAGTGTGAATGCCCCCCCGTCTCGTATTTGTGTGTGCGCTCATATGCTCGAGTTTGGAAGGGGCTTGTGCCAACCTCCCACTTGTTATGCAGATATTAAAGTGCCTGCGGAAATGTTAAAATGGTAAAACATGGAAATTTCCGAGGAATGAGCAAAAAAATGCAGCAAAGCGGACTTGTGAGACATGAATTGCAATTGACAAAAACCTCGGTGATCAGACGTGCCACCCCGAGAAGATGCTGATGAGATTAATCACCCTCGCATTTTCCATCTGTTCAGTTGTGCAGCAGTGCGTAAAACAATCGACTAACAAAGTGAAGACCAGCCTGTACAACAGTCATCGGCACAAAGGTGTCAAAAGTTCGTTGGCACCCACTGGACTCGCTCTGTTTACATCATAAATACGCATTCTTGTTTTGTTCTAATACAAATGTATAATAATGAAACAAAAGTGCATATTTAAAGACATATATATATTTTTTTGAATTTACTTAATTAATCTAAAACCACAGAGTTATCCTCTTTTTTAATTGTCTGACTGGCCTCTCCACTGACTTTTCTGGCAGCGTGGGGTCCTAGAGCTCTGCAGGCCTTTGGCTCCTCTCTCCTCATCTGCTCTTCTGTGCAGACTCCACATACTGATGGCACACAAAAACAAACTAATTAGTCTCTCAGCTGTATTAAAGTTTCATTTGGATGCAGTGCTCGACGAGCATACGATTGGCTCTGAATAAAAACAGAACGTACTGTAAGCTCAGGCTTTCGAGTTTGCTTTGTACTGTCAAGTTAATGGCACAGCCAATGCACGCTAGCCAAATCTGTCTTTGAATCATAGTTTTGTATGACGTGTAATTTTTAGGAAGACATTTCTGTATCATTCACACAGGTGATTTCTTCATTTTACGTTGAGTGGAGAGGGAACTCCTTGTCATTCATGGGGAAAGGTGTGACAAAGAACGCCATTATTTGCTTGCTTCACCTGTCCCATGAGATGATGATGGAAAACAAGGATAAGGCAAGTGTCATTGTAACGTTTTACCATTATAACCTGATGTAGCTGGAATAATTCTGTTACATTGTAGCTACATTGTAATGACACAACTCATTGTATTTTTATGTGACGAACCACCACAAATTACGACATAGTTGTAAGGTGGACAGAAAATGATTTTAAAAATGTTTTAGAAATGTGAAAAGAATAGAGTGATTATATCCATCCTCTTTACTCTGATACCCCTGAATAAGATTCAGCAAGTTGCCTTCAGAAGTAATATAGTCAACAGAGTCTGCTCCCACTATAACAAAATTGTTACAGTTTAAGAAGTATGAATACCTTTGCAAGGCACTTTTCTATGGATCTATGGACGAATAGATAACTGAATGTTGCATTTAAATTGAGCTTTATTCCAACATTAGGACTTCATAAGCCAGTGGTCTTTTGGGACTAATGGCACCACAGAGGAGAGTAGCGGCTCTCAGCTTGGTTTGGCGTGGCTTATCCCTCTCTGGGTGGACCGAGATCAAGAGGTAAAGCAGTCATTTTTCACCTTGCCTTCATGAACCCTCATCTTTTGCATGTTTGACATTTTGGACATTTTGAAACTCATCCCAAACGCATTGCAAAGTAAGGTGATTTCCCTGACTTATGAGGAGCCAGCGGGCTTCGATGCACCATTTTAGCATGTGTTTTCTCCTTTTCTGTCAGGTGAGGTTTGCCAGTCTGAGTTTAGGCGCTGCTCTCTCCTCCATGCCCAGTGGCTGCCAGATTCTGTGTGCCAGCTGTCAGAACATCAGCGGAGGTCTGTGGGGCACGCTGCTCAACATCCTCTTGGATCAACAGGAGAGCAGCATGGTTCGCAGAGAGGTGCGTTGGAAAAACTCCCTTGCGATGAAAGAGCTCTTTTGTTACGTTTTTACTGCATTACATGACTTTTCACAATGTGTCAAAATGAAGCTATTTGAGTATTTATCGCTTTTATTTCAGGGTAATGCAACTTATGATTTGCCACCTTAAATAAGCAAAAGCACTCAAGTGCTCAGAATAATGTATTACCAACCAAATACAGGCAGATGGCACTGTTGCTGGTGCAGTTCACCTTAACCCAGACTGTATGTGTGTGTGTTTCTCCCTGTCCTTGGTTTGTGTGTCCAGGCTGTGTTTATCTTGCAGAACTTGCTGGTGATGCCTATGCCTGCCAACGCAGAGGAGGCCAAGGACTCCCACTGGCAGGTCAGCAGATCTGCCTGCCAGTTCAAAGCCCTTTTACAGACCATAAACCTTTTTCTACCCCATTTTCTTTCTGTTTTCTTCCATCTGGATCTGCTCTCTTACCCTCCCCAGATCTCTTGTTTATAGAGAAAACTGCTTTGGACTTCAGATCAGGCATGTTGCTGAGTTAAATATTAATTTAGATTTAGGCGCATGCATAGAGAATTCACATCCAGATTAATTAAGCGCTCAGTCAAAACTCCAAAGGCATTCTAAAAAAAGGATGCAGGTACTCGGATAGAGACCTGTATGTGTGAGGCGGTTTCTAAAGACGGCGCAGATGGAAGTTCTCGAAAGAGTTTGTGGGGGGCCGGGAGGGGAGTCTGAAAGGATTGAGTTTTGTGAGTAGCTGTGTGGGAAGCATTTGGGGAAAGAGGAACTAAAAATCTAGGACACACATTGTCATCTCTTAGACATTTTTGAAATGTCATCTATATCCATATTGCAACTTAACTGATATCTTTCATCTCCGACAAGATTTTTTTTTTTCCTTATGTCAAAAATGTAAGAGAACTCAAACTAAAGTTATTTTTTTTCTTTCTTTAATTTTTTCCCCCCCTTCAGCACCCATGTGTCCATGATGAGGTTTCCGGTGTGTCTTTGGTGGGTCTTCCGGCACTGCAGGCTCTGCTTTACCACTGTCAGTATTTCCACAGTGTGGCTCTCTCTGCCTCGACTTGCTACTGTGGCAGGTACACCTTCGACCTGCTGCCACGGCCTGGTGGGAGCGATAATCCCAGCCTTCAGGAAAGCTCTTTAGCTGGTAAACCCCGATTTCCTTACAGTCGTCATGATGGATTACGAGCAAAGAAAAGGATTATGCTTGTTAATGCCCGAAACTTTGATAACTATGTGTCACATTTGTGTGTTGTTGTGTTTAATTCTGTGTGTACGCTGACTTAGATTCAGAAAATTCCCTGCTGCCTTGGAGATGTGACCCCGCACCTAGTGTCAACTCTGGAAGGAGTTTCGGCTCCCTTTCTACTTTAAGCACTGCAGTCAGCAATGCTCTAGTACGTAAAACCATCCACTCATTAGTTTGTTTGTTTGTTTGTTGATTCATTTATTCATTCGTTTGTTGTCCATCCTCTCATCTCAGGGCTTCCCCCAGAAAACTTGCTAAGCCTGGTGCCCGGGGCGTTAGGGTAGTCATCCAGCCGGCTGTCGTGTTTTTGAGTTAAAAAATGTTTAAAGTTGACAGGAAATTTGCAAATGTCACTTGATAGTTCTACATTTTTGGAAGACTGGAAGATTAATACTTAAACATCAACTATAAAGTCTTAAAAAAAGGCAGTAATAATAATAAAAAAAGATAAATTAATGATGCTAAGCCTGGTGGGGGCACAAGTAAATCCTGGTGGCCCGCCAGGCTTGTGATACACTGAGGGAAACCTTGCATGTATTCATTGGTGCATCCATCCATCCATCCATGCATCTTTAGTTTTTCAACCCCACTTTTTTCCCTCCTCTTCTTCACACTGAAAGCTTCACAGGTTCTATATTCACATTCTAACCATAGTAAAAATCTGTACCATTAATTCATTTTCCTTTTTATTTTCTTCTTATGTTTAGGAAATTGGATAAAAAGAAGTAAGAACTCACAGCGTTTGAGGCAGTAAAAGTAATGGATTTTGAAATGGGGGCTTATTTTACCCATTTTTAGAGTCTAATATCTTACCAGGAAATGAGACATTTATAATTCATTGAACATTGGGTGAGAAAACCGACAGGATGACTAAAATGGGTTCTGTTCAATACAAGAAGGTATTGCATTCAACAAAGTAACCGTGCCTTTTTCATAGTTTTGTTTTGTGGTTGGTGTTTTTGCTTTTTTATACACTAGAGTCATATTCAGTACATTTGAATGTTAATGAAAAGTTAATTTATTATTTCAGTAACTATTGATACTCAACTTTAACCTCAATAGTGAAATCTGTGATTCTATTTCATCTCCCCTCGTTACGTAGGCATACTGACTGTACTGATTGCACATTTATTATTATTATTATTATTATTATTATTATTATTATTCAGAAAGGGGCTTTTTGATCTACACAAGTGCCTCCTATTAGGAAAAGTTCAGGAATGAGCTTTTACCCACGTGTAGCTCTATGAAATAATAATTTTCTTGTGGTTCCTCCTCGGAGATGAAGTTTTCAGCTTAGATATATCTGTGTTTAGGAGTTCTAATCATATATTCTTTGAGCGCAGTTTTGTTGATTTTCTGTTTTTGTTTGGTTTACACTAGCTAGTTTCACCTCTAACAGATTGTTCTGACAGATCATGTGAATTAGAGGAAATTTCCCCTCAGAATATTTCAAGTGAATTGAATCCTCATGCTCTCCTGTTTTCTGTTGCTTGCAGAGTAAAAGTTCAAGGCTGAACACTCTCAAAGTTTCCTCCCCAGTCGACATCCCAGACTGTACTCCTGCCAGACTGATGGCTCAAGGTACTACAAAGAGAAAAATCTGTCTGGACTTAAACTCTCCACATAGACCTTTGGATATTGTCTGCCTTCGGAAAATGTAACCCGTGGTGTGTTCGGGAACAGTCATAAAACCAAAACCGCTGTAACGTATACAATTCCGAGAGTGAAGCTCTTACTTCTCGTAATTTCACCTCGGCCCAAGAGACAGACCAGGATGTGATTCAGTGGCTTTTGACGTGTCTCGCAGGTCAGAGTGATAGAGACACAAGCAACTCAAGTGCCTCACAGGACTCCCAGCCAGTCAAGTCCTCAGGCATGGAAGCGGTTGTCATAGTAACTCCTGACCTCTTGACGGCCCACTGTGGCCTGCTGTATAATCTGCTGTCCGTCCTGCCAGACTTCACCCTCTCTGCCATGCAAGAAAACCAGCTACTGCCGGTTCTGAGCAGGTAAAAGGCCACAGGTTTTGTTCGTCCTACGCAACATCTTTCTGGCTGGTGTGTTCAGCGTACCACGCTGTACCTTTATTTCACCGTTCACACTGATGAAACTATAATATGAATGCTATTGGTTCTCCGTTCACATCTTTGCAGACAGTCTTATCCCATCATATTTCTTTCCCCCTTTCAGTGTGGTCGATGTCGAACTCATGGAGAAATGTCTGAGCGAGCTCAGGTCTCCCGGCATCCTTCCCGGAATCAGAGAAGACGTCAAGCGTCAGGTAAAACAGCACGGATCGGCTCAGCGTTTCGGGAAGTTTTCCAGTTGTTGTTTCTTTATTATCATGATCCGCCACAAAATACGTGGGTTGGAACTCTGTGCCAGTTTCAGAACAGGTTATCTAAGTGCACCTCCACATATTCAGTGTGGGTGGAATACTTAATAAGCTTATGCTGGAAGCATACAATTGTTTTGTTTTTTTTGTGTTTTTTTTCAGCATAGTTACCTTCTTGTTTTTTCTCTCCAACTTTGACAACTTAACAAATGATTTTTGTGCTGTAGGAGGGTGTTATTATTTTACCTGCACTTTGTTAATCTGTGTTCATTTGTGTGTGGCTTCTCAGTTTGTCACGGCTCTTCGGTTCCTGTCGAGCTTTTGCAAACTGCTGCAGTCTTGTGTCGTGGCAAGCAAGGAGCTGATTGGCCAGATGGACTTCCTGAAGCTGCTGTTGCCTAATCTGGTGGCTGCACTTATGCTGGATGCCAAATTATTAGGTGGGACTCTCATGCTGTGATTAAATAGATTGCATGCAGTAGTAATGATACCCCGTAAACATTTTTTATTGTTATAACCACAAACATCAACCTTTTCTGGGATTTTATGTGATAGACCAAATCGATTTTCTTTTTTTTTTCTGAAAAGGAAAGAAAATGTCCTTAAATCTTTTCGCTAATAAAATGTGAATTTAATGTCAAATCCTGCCCTCCCCAGGGTGAATTTTAAAGAACTGCAAGTGTTTCTGGGTATGTCAGCTGGCAGCTTTGCACATCTTTATCCTGAATTTTTTTAACTGTACTTCATTGGAGAATACAAAAAGCTCTGCTGGGTTGGAATGGGGGAGTATCTGTAAACATAGTGGCCTGGAAAGTTGATACAACAACAACAGATCTTAAATGTATTTTGGGTACTAATCCAGTCAGTGATTCATAAGCTGACAAAAGTGTGTTATTTTAAAATCTATGGACTTTAGAACTTGGGTGATGTGCTCTGTCTTCCTGGTTTTAGTGAGAAGACGAGCAGCAGCAGCTTTCTGGTTCAGACACTTGATTCTGGTGCAGTAATCAGTGCCGCTAAAGATAAACACATCAGCACGTCTTGCTAACTGTGTTTGGCTGCCACGTAACATCTCAGTTGATTGCATTGATGTTTGTGGTTGTAGCATTACAAAATGTGGAGAGGCTAAACCGGCGCGAACCCTTTCATGAGGCTTCGCATAGGTCTACAATGACCTATGCAGATCAGTCGCGTTCTGTTTAGCCGTTTCTCAGCTCACTCTGCAGTTCAACCGTAGCTCTGATCTGTTTACCTCTTTGTGGCCGTCCGCTGTCATAAAATTTGTGAGTCACTCCTTCCCCTCCTCAGACGCAGGTACGTGGGACGCGGTTTGCGCGTGCTGGACAGACGTGTTTACGCTGCTGGCTACTCTGGTGAGGAGAGGCGGCTCGGCAGCTCACCCATCTGTCTCCGCCGCGCTGGGCAGATGCTGGCGGACATTCGCAGGTACACGGATGCCTCTCTCTGCGAGGGAGTTTAAGTGACGAACATAATTTTGCTGGTTTAGAGGGCGAAATCATTTGTGTGATCATGTTATGGATCGCCCCTCAAGTTTCTGTCTCTTTAGTGAAATTTACATCTTCATCTTGGCAAACAAATAAAAGAATAAAAAAATATTAAGCATGCTAGCTGCATCCTTGCTGTTGTATAAACTTTCTGTAACAGATGTGAGGGTAGGATAATTAAACCACCTCTACCCCTCCTACTTATATCTTCCTCCCAGATTAATGACGCAGCAAGGACGTTTAATGAGTCCAGTAAAAGATGAATGCTGGGCCTTTGTGCTCATGTGTGTTTTTGTCAGCAACGATGTTTATGACATCTGGGCGTTCAGACGAATTTAGATGATTAGTTTGCACAAGCTGCCTCAGTCATAGTCAAATATCCAGCTGTCACTGGTTTTAAAGTTTTGATTTGCTTTTTTCGTTGTTGTTGTTGTTGTCTCAGAAAGCATTTGTCATTCATTACAGTCAGCAATTTATTTTATTTTTTTACATTTTTGTCTGCAGGAACATTATCGCAGTGTCTGGATGAGAAAAAGGCAGATTTGCTGCTCCACACAGCAGCTCTGCAGTTCCTCTCCACAGTTTTCACAGAGGAGACGAGGCTCTGCGGCACAGAACTCAAAAGCTCCACATCCAAGCACAGCAGCACTCTGTCAGATATCCTAAATGGTCCCTCTGCCAGTGAGCTGTGTGAACTGCTATTGCAGGTAGGTGCGAATGTTGCAGTCGTGTGATAGTCTGCTCAGTTATCGCAGGTGCTTTTTAATCCCAGGATTGCCTGTGTGTTCGTGGCCAGAGTTTTAAACTTCAAGGAAGGTGTTTGAGTGTACAGCAACACTAACCTGATTGTTGTTGTTCTCAGAGCTTTGAGAAAAGGACCCTTCAGGACCCTTTAAAGAAGCTCACAGCCAGAGCTCTGATGACGCTTCTGGCCTGCAGTCCCACAGCTCAAAACCACGCAGCCACTGGTAATTCCCCAAAAACACAGCTGTCACCTCTGCGACTGATTCTAAAACCGCACAAATAAACTGTGCAGCAGCCTGTGGCACGTCTTCCTAAATTAAACTCCAGACAGCTCACTGGCTGTTTGTGTTTGTGAAAATGTGTTTTAGCTGCAAAAATGTACCACCAATTTTGTCTTATTGCAGTATTAGTGTATGCGTGTTGCAGAGAACTGCCTGAACTACAATAAGGCAATAAATTATGCAAATAATTTAGGTAGCAACCACTCAGGCTGTCTACGGCTGTAATATATTATGTGGCACTTTTTGTTTGTAGCAGCATAAATATTTTTAGGGATGGAAGAAAGTGGTAAGGTTGTCAAATTAGTAAGACGGAAACAAAGATTAGCTGGATAGACTTTCTCATTTTCTGAAATCTGCTATAAAATCGAAGCCTAAAGACATCATTACATTTATTGCAAGTCATGCTGTTATTGCAACATTTACCAGTACTAATACATATTGCATGCTTTTCTTATATTTGAGCACATATACATTGGAAAAAAAAGATTTTCCTCCACACGTTTCTTCTTTCACACTCAAATGTTCGCGTTACAGAATGAGAATTATCTGATTAAATACAAAAGTTAGCTTCCACATTCTACCTCTGATTGGATAAAAAAAAATAAGTCAAAAGTCTGAACTTAAATCTGACCGACAAGCTGCCGAATTACCTCAACAGGCTAAATATGTTGCAATCCCTCTAACATTACTGATTTATAATAGTTCTGCAAAAATAAAAATATGGTTTTATCTTTTTTTACCAGTTATTGCAAATGCCTGATGGCAGTTGTTGTGGCCAAGGGTAGCATGACTAATTATTTAGTTGAGGGAAAAACAACTTGTTGTTTGGATAGGTTGCAACTAACATGGTTATAATATTTTTATTCTAAATGAAATCACTTTTTAAATTGCTCGGTCGAAGAAAAAAAATCGTATGATTTTGAAATTCAGTTGTTTTTTGTTTTTTTTGGTAAAAAAAAAACAACAACTGAATTTTGAGGAAGACAAATACTTATTGTTTTTAGCTACTTTGATGCTCCTGCTGTCTTGTGTTCCAGCCGGTTTAATTGACAGCTGTGTGGAGCAGCTGAAGCAGACCCATTCCCGCCTCCACCTGGAGTCCATCCGACCCAGCAAGGCTTCTACTCGCAAAAAGGTGAGCACAGGCCGACGGGAAACTTCCCATCTCAGCACATTTTTAAGCTCCGTGTGTTAGCATTTTTTCCCCCCTCAGTTGGGTTAAATAACAAACTGAGGCTACATCAAAGTGTTTTTTTTTTTTTTAGAAGAAATGCTATGAATACGTATTGTACAGTCCCAGCTGTTCTCTTATTATCCTTTTCAAGTGTTTAATGCAGCCAGGAAAATGCTGTTTTGAATCCAGAACAATTAAACATGTTGCCTTTCGTTTTGTTTGTTCTCATATTTTCAGGACGGGGGCCATTTAAAAGAAGTCAAGCTGACTGCAGGGATCCTGCGGAGCGCTCTTTATTGCAACGATGAATGCAAAGTGAGTTTCTATGGCTGCTATTAAATTCCCCACAGTTAATTGGTTTTTAATGGAACCTCGCTGTACAGGTACCTCCAAATGAGATCCAAATGTGCAAGATGCTGCTAACATTTCCTCTCGTTGAGCTTCTTTATTTCTCCGTTTTGTTACTTTTAGAGGAAATGAGCTGTTTTTTTGTGTGTTTTTTTTATTCCTCATCCTTTACATTTAGAAGATATTGAGCTATTTTAGGCTGATTACAGGTATCTTTGTCAGCATCGGGTTATAACAAATGTGTTCCAGAATTGGGTTTGCCTCTTTCACTCTGCGGACATCTAACTTAAAGCGTTTTCTCTTTACAAGTACATCAATCTAATCTATTTACGTGTGTAGGTGGTTGCTATGGATGCCCGTTTAGCTCTGAGACTCTACGCTCTGTGGCCGTGGCTCTTATTGGACGACCCCACAATGGAAGCGGTCCTGGAGCTCCTGTGTGTGTACACCGCCGACAGCCAGCCAGGTGGGAACGAGATGTTGCGCATGTTGCGTCTCTCTGAGTGTTTGTGCCTGTGATGTCGCCTCCTTCTGCGATTAGCAATCTCACTGAGTCATACACACTTTGCATTAAAAGTCCCATTGTCCTCTGCGACGACCACATTGTGTTTCACTGCGTAAGAGCGGTGCGTGGTTTGCTTGCCGGTAACAATGGGCACCGTGTCAGAATCGATCAGGCTGCATGTCAGTCTCACTGCGGCTTCAGACCAGAGGGACATGATGTGGAAAACAAGAGAACATCTCTGGCTTGTCTGAGACGTTTCTGTTCGTTCTTGCCAACCAGCAGAGTTAAGAAAAAAAAGAGAAACAAAAAAAAAAACTACAGTTGACAAGAACAAATTTCAAGAGAAAAACAATCTGGGAAACAATCACTCATGTGTCACTTGATCTCTGTGTGTGTATTCAGTTATCTGTTATTGATATAAAGTTTCTTACAAAAGTATTTTATCATGTTAAAACTACAAATTCTATTACACTGTTGAGGAATTTATATAGCAGATTAATTGTGAATCGAAGGAAAATACGACAAATGTTTTGTAAGTATTAATGTAAGAAGGAAACCCAACCCACGACAAGTCTGATCCGCAGTTTTTCAGTGGTCATGTAGTGAACACAACAAACAGGTGGGGAAGAAGTGTTCTGGTCGTGTTGAAGACCACAATTTCACTTTTTGGCCAAAAAGTGAAACAATATAATTGGTGAAAAGCTAACGCCGCTCCATCTACACAGTGAGAGATGGGGGTGGAAGCATTATCCTGTGGGGATTCTTTTCAGCAGCAAAGACCGTGAAGCTGGTTAGATTGTTGGAAAGACGGATGGAGCTAGATGCAGACCAAACCTGAAAGAAAACCTTTTTTTTGTGTAGACTGTAGACTGGTGTGGAAAGTCCAAACCTAAATCCATTTAAAGTTTCAGTGGAAAGTCTTGAAAATGTATTTTTCCATACACACGGTGCCAGCCAGAACTATATTAGAAAATACAACAAAACTTTCTGTTAAAGATGTACAAACCGGATTAGCTTAATCCCAAAAGTCTTTCAACTGGAACGACAAGGAATGGTGTTTCCTAGGGGGATACAGATATAAGCCACACTTTTCAGATTTGTAAACTGTATAATAAAAACAAAAAAATTACCTATTTTTGTAACCTATTCCTTTCACTTTACAATCATGTCCTGAAAGCTTTTACAAGACGCTGCAGTTGTTTCATCTGAGTAACTGAAATTTCTCTTGCTTCACTTAGAGCAATTTCTGATAGCCGGAGTTCACAAGTGTTGACAGGTTTGCGTAAGTAACTCTAAACGTGATTGGCAGCAGCTTTTCAGCGGACGTGTGCACACGCTCAGATCTAAACTGACTTTTTCTTTAGACCCCCCTTCTTCCCTCCCTCCCACCACACCCACATCGGCTCAAGCTGGGAAGCTGCAGAAATCAGTGAAGTCAGGCACAGTGTTTCCCTAAAGGTTAACCGAACAGCAGGTTGGATTTGGGCTTCACGCAGCCTGGCTTAGTATTACACCATCCACCCTGAGGCAACCACCGAGTCTCCTGAGACGCCTACGTTTCTATTCACTCTTTCATCTCCTGTCTACCGCCTTCATCCGAAACTTTAGCGTTGCTAGTTTAAGTGGAACTGTTGTTTTTTGGGGTTTTTTTTTTTATCTGTTCCCTCCCTGCTTATTTTCAGGAGATATTTTTGTAATTGCCTCAAAACCTGGTCTCACAGACGCAAAGATCGCAATTTTTTTTTGCTCTTATTTGAGATGAGACGTTCCTTGTATTGCAGAGTACTTGATGAGATTTAAGGCAACACTTGGGACGCTTAAGATCTTATCAGAAAGATCCCGTGTTAACCCTCGCCGATGTCATGATGGCTTCCTGACAGGTGTAAGCATAACCTCAGGCCATCTGTCGCGTTCCAGGATTAATGTAACCAACAAGTTGTGATGTTCTCAAATGAACAACATCCACTAGTGTCAGAAAGTCATGAGTGATTTTTTTTTTTTTTTTTTCATTTATCATCTTTTACTTCCTTGATGCCTTTTGGTATTTGCATTCCGGATATTTCTGCATAATAAATATCTACAGCCTGAGGCTGCTAGGCAAAAATAATTTGCCTCCCACCAAGAGTCAGAGCACCACAGTTGCCATAATGAGGCAGTCGTTTCAAGGTGAACCAAAATTAGCAAATTAAAATAGCCACAAATGTTTTAAAGCTCTCTTATGAAGTGATGAGCTTCTGTTACATTTCTGCAATTAAAATAAAGTAACAAATTATACATTTTTTCATCATCATTTAGCTGATTTATGTTGATACTATTTTTAAAAAGGGGAGGGGAAAAAAAATGTGTCAGTTTGCTATGCTGTGTGATGTTTAGGTGGCCAGTCCGCGTTTCTGCTTCCCTTGGTGCTGCGGGCTGCAGCAGAGCTGAGCGGCTCCACGAACGTTTCATTGTTGCACTTAACTATTCTTTCAAGGGACGAGCTGTGCGGCTGTTATCAGCGGTAGCTTTAAGTTACACTCAAAAAGCCTGTTGCTGGCATGAAATTGCAATTCAGAATGTTAATTGGCCTGAGTGCTCCGTTATATTTTCAAGAACTCTGTAGTATTTTTATTTTTTTAAGATCAGATTGCGACAGATTGACATAAAGCAAAATGACACACACACACAAGAAAGTCAACTAAGGAAATGTAAAATCCATATAGTCGCGATCTGATTTTTAGCAAACCAGTTTAGCCATAAAGACGTGTACAGTGTGATTTATTTCAGAAGAGATGCGGCACTTAAAATGTTGGACTGCTCTATAAGCATGGAAGCTCTGACTTGACGATTCCCATTTTATGAAGAGAGAGACAAGAAGTCTTTTAAATGCTATGTTTTATGGTTAGGAGATGCATAGTTTGCTAAATGTATCTTTTTTTTCCTCTGTTCCCAGCATGCAGTTCCCTCTGTGGCAGCAGCCCCAGTGGGGTGCCAGGATCTAAGGGCTCCTCCAACGCCTCTCTGATGCACTCGGTCATGAAGCTGAGCTCTCTTGCCCCAGACAACAGCCCCATCCAGAATCTATGCTTCTCTCTCCTGACTAACCTGGTTGTGTCACGAGACTGTAGGTGCATCCTGCAGAAGGTACATTATTAAAACAAAAGCAGCAAATCCAAAGGATTACTTGAGTTATAGTTCTTCCCTTTTAGATGTAAAGTTGTACAAACTGCAACACGTGTTTAAATTACAGCTTTTCTCCTTACTTGGTAGAATCTAGTTTCTGAAGGTAGTATTTAATGAGGTGATCCATGATGCTGTGCTGTAATCTGTCTCTTTTGTGATCATTTCCTGTGATTCTCAGAATAATTTCATTCAAGCCTTCCTGTCGGTGCCGGTCCCTAAGGTGGCTGCTGCTAAGGCCTCATCGGTCGGTGGCGGTGGGAACCTCCTGAGCCTGTGGCTGAGATTCCTAGTCAGCCTGTCCGCCACAGAGGACGGGCAGCAGAATATTCTGAAATTGTCTGGAGTTCTGGAACTGCTGGCCGAACTGGCGCCGCATCGACCACACGCACTGCTCACCTTTCACAACCTCTGCTTCTGCCCCGCCGTCAAATCACACGTCGTGACTAATGGTACGGAGCAGGAGACGGGTTTGAGATTTAACTATTGCATAGAGGTTGAAAAAGCACTTTGGCGATTAAGGTCATCTTTTTAGTGTGTTTTTCATGAATGCCTTTCAGCTTTCTCATTCCCCTCTTCAGCTGTACGTCTAGGAATTGAGGACATTAACTGAATTTACAGCTCAGACCCCTTACACATTTCCACATTTTGTTTTGTCATCTAAAACCTCCAAATGCGCGCATATATATATATATATATATATATATATATATGTGACATCACACAATTTGGGAATTGTATACCAGTATGTATATTAATTGCAGTAGAAATACAGCAGTGAAGGCCTTAGATCTTTTATTGTGATCATTAGTGAACAAACAAAATCATGAATGACAAATGTATAAAGACAGGACCTCCCGCCTAACCTGACTGCCCTGGAAAGTACCATATTTATACAAGTATAACTCATATCAGTCCTGAAGAGGGAGAAAAAAAAATGCATATAAATTGCATCTGGCTAAGAAGTTTAAGGGCCAGCCAAGCTATTAAATAGATATATTTAAAAATTGTGATTTATATACAGTAAGAGAAGCAGCCAAGAGGCCTATAATAACTTAGCAGGAGCTGCAGAGATCCACAGCTCAGGTGGAAAAATGACTTTAGCATTTTAATCTAATAAACATGTTTTGATATAAAAACATTTGGAGACGTTCAAGGCGAATAAACATTTTTTGTAGGGTCTGTACCAATGTGTTAAATTGAAGTTTCTCTCCGAACCTAAACAATATTTCTTAATAAAAAGCCATTTCTCCACGTTTCTAAAATCATTGCTACATTAGGCTTTTGCTATCAATTACTGGAGTAATTAATCAATTAGTCACAGATAAATTGTGTTCAGAAGTAAGGAAAGAACCGAATACCAAATTAATTTTTATAGCATATAGCATTCAATCTCATATTTTCAAAATAACGTATACAACGTGTGACAAAAATGCAATGCATAACAGTTTGGGGTGGCAAAGTCGGACCAGGTAATTCTAACTTTAGCAGCGTTTCGCTGCAGTTTCAGTGGTGTGAAGATGAAATAACCAAACGCTGAGCGAAAATGAAAGTGGGGGAAGCTGCTGAGACTGAAAAAGCTTGTGCAGGTGGGCAGATGTGTCCCACACAAAGTACACTGCAGGTGGTAGTTGAAGGACCAGCTGCGTGGAAAATGTCATGTTACCACATTTTTTGTTTCCTGTGGAAATTTTGACATTTCCTGTTTAAGCTGTGTGTGTGTTTGTTTTTTTTTAGTGATCATATTTATGATCACATCATTTGAATTGCTCTTGTCTGTATGCCAGCATCTAACTTTGTTTCTCTATTATTATTTTTTGTGTGTCTATTTATTTAAACAGTATGATGATTAAAACATTTTAAAACAATCATTTACATGAGGTAATGATGTTGTGAAGATTACCGATTGTCTACATGTTTGTGTTCCAGATAAAGCCATGAAAGTTTTGTTACGGTGTTTGGAAAGTAAAGAGCTGGAGACCTGCTGTATCGGAGCGTCTGCACTGTGGGCTCTACTCCACAACAATCAGAGGGTACACACACACTCACACACACTCACTGACGCTCTGAGGTGGTTGCATCTACTCTCCAGTAAAGTCCTAATTTATCTTTTTGTTTTCACATTTAATTTTTTATGCTTTAACGACGACCTGAAAAACCTTAACAGCTATTATGTCCTCTCATTTATAATGCTTCTTTAAAGCATTATAAACATAAGTTATTTTTCTGAATCAGTTTTTTTGTTGTTGTTGTTTTTCTCTTGACAGGCGAAGACTGTACTGAAATGTCCATCTGTTCGATTAAAAATCCAGGAGGCACTGACCGTCTCCAAGAAAGGCATGCGTGTTTTCATTTTGACAACCAAATAACGCGACTTCCACCCACCAGATTGTTAAACAGTGTTTAGAACATTGGGGTATTCCCATCAGAAGCCATTAGTGAAAAAGGAAAAAAAAACAAACATGTATTTTATAAATTTTCTTTTTGAAATAAATAGTATAACATTGAAATGAATTTTTTTTTATGAAACAGAGGAATAGAAATTAAAATTTGGCTGGTTTCCCTTTTCAGTTTCAAAACAAAAGCACTTATCGACCGAGAAAAACAAAACAAAAATCACGTTTTGTCATATCAACATGCGGCCATCTAATTCTGTGGCCATCCTTTAATGCGACTGTTGGAGGCGCTGTTTCCTCCTTAGACCTATTCACTGCAACACAAGTGAATATGAAGTAAAACATACAGAATGAGGACCTATATGAAGTTGTGATGAGTTGGGAGAGGATGAGTAGTTTTGTTACTCCATTGAGTTCAGTGTTAAAAAACTCACCTTCACCTGGGCAGCGATTTTACGGGATAAAACTTACATTTTATTAGTGCAAGCTGAGGGAAAATGTCAGGGAAAAAAAAGAAAAAAAAAACATCAAATTGTCTCATTTTCTCCTCTGAGTATGAAACAAAAGCCTCGTTTAAATTTCTGCTCATTTATTTTTCCTCCACTAGAAAGGAAAATGGCTTTACTTTAAAATAAAAATCAAGTAACCGCTTGTGTGTGTGTGTTTTTTTTTTTCTTCTGTTGCTTAGCACTACTCCTGAGAAAATCCGATTACTTAAAGATGCATTCATCAGCAACAAACCGTTTATTTTGTTTTTAATCTTCTTGTTTTTGTTATTCTGTTCTGTAGATGCAGAGAAGAAGCAGGAACCTTTGAACTCCTACCTGCAGAAGTGCCTGGATCAACTTTCCCAGCTGCTAAAAAGTTGAATGTAACTGACTATTTTAATTGTGTAGTTTTGTATCATGTTTTGTCATCTATGAAATATGTCATTTGGATATTAAAGTGATGTCAACCTTTCGTCCTTGCCAGATCTCATTTATCGGAACTTAGCTGGCGTGTGGCTTTGAACTCGTCGCCGTGGCGACGGTGGTGTTCGGCAGCTGATTCACAGCAAAACGCAACAGTTTTTGTGGAAAGCCACAACATAGAAACATTTTCAAATGGCGAAACCCTACATTTAGAGGAAACGCTCACATTTATTATTACTGAATGTCGCTTCTCTAGTCATGGCAATTCTATCATTTTTTTTTAAATGCATAAAATCCATGTGAAAACCAGTTTTCAGTGTTGAATTCCTTGTGGGGAAACTTCATTATAAACCCCAACATGCAGAATGATGTCGTAAGTTTGCCATCCATCCCCAGCCCCGGTGATACAGAGCCTCTGTGTCGAGCGTGCCAGCAGTGGGACACCATGAATTGTGGCCCTGTAGCTGAAGTGCTTCTCTGTAGCCAGAGATGGAGCAGGAAGTGCAGCTCGGGTGCCTGTGCACTCGTCTCATCAATGCAGCTTTCATTCTTCCTCGGTGGGGCAAGATGGAAGCTGTACAAAAGGACTACTGGTACTTCATGGTACTCCTCTTTCTCCCTTTTCTTAAAGGTAGGGATATTTTTTTTTTTTTTTTGCTTTATGTCTACAAATATTTCAATGGGATCAGGTTGTATATATATATTTTATTTATTTTTTTTGTTTACGTTTGTCATGAAGTAAATTCATGTAAAACGTGTTGACTGTGGTGACTTTCTCAGACGTGTTTAGTAAAAATAACTGCCTTTATTCAATATATGATGTTGTTTTATGAGTTTAGAAACTATATATTCGGAAAAATAAAACAGTCTGGTTAATTTTGTTCAACCTTTATTGAATTACGACATTTTGCTGAACTCACGTGATAAAATATTGTCTCATTAAGACTGTGTTAGATGTTTTATTTAAATGCTGAAGCTTTATGATGAGCACACGTAGGTAGTTGTTCAGTTTGACTCATTTTCTTTCCGGTCCAACAATGCAAACTCTTATTCACCTTGTTAAAAAATATATATATAGATTCACAGTTTCCTTTTCATAGACTGCACAGTCTCTTTTGTGAAAAAACCGATTGCCTCACCTTTTGCTGGTTACCTTTGAGTCTCGACTGCTTTGAAAGCTGATCAGATCAGTTACAATAACTGTAAGCATGTGAGCCATATTTTTACTGACTTTTAGCACAAAATTACCTTCTAGCATAATTTTTAATGATCAAAAATCAATCACTGTTATTCTGATTAATACAGAAGAGTAGAATGGTTGCTTCGGAAGAGAGAAGTGATTGTAGGTGTCGCTTCTTTGCCAACACCGCTTTTCTTTTCGAGAAAATCAGTGTCGGCATCAGCCCTGCGTATCGAAAGAGCTTCACAGGCAAGAAGTTTGCAGCTTGTAAGATGGAACTAAATCAACCTTTTATTGGAGGGAGAGGTTTGAGAAAAACTTCAGAGTGCCCAAGGAAATCCAGCAGGTGCTTGAACCTAAGCAGGGGACAACTAATTGAGTTGCCACCAGCTGCAGAGCTTGCAGAGTGGTCGGGTTTACGTTTTTTCTGCAGCCATAATGAAATGGATACTTTTGGAGGCCAGCCTGATGGAAAATAAGCGACTTGCGTCCAAGAAAAACATGAGGGAGAAATGTTTCTTATGAATTTGAGCTGCCTTGAAATTTTGTGAAGTGTTTAGTAAACGGTGTACCATAGAAATGTCTGTCAAGAAAATCTAACAAACCAAGTTTTTTCTGTCTCTCTACTTTGTTTGCCTTTGGCCGTGAATGCTTAAATCTGAACCACGTTTTGTTCAAAATCAGAATGTGAACAGTGAAACTCTTGTCTAGTTGCTGTCCAGCAGACAGACGTCGAAACAGTACGGCTGGAAGAAGGGATGGTGCTGGCCTGCGTGTGTCCCTGGGACGGCCAGCTCAGCATGGTGTCCTGGACCAAAGTGCCAGACAAGAACCCCATTGCCGTGTTCTCTCCTGAGTTTGGAGTCTCCGTCCCTTACACCTACCGGGAGAGAATAGAGTTCCTGAGGACGACGCCTATGGATGGAAGCATTGCCTTGAAGAACGTCACGCATCAGGACATCGGGCTCTATCACTGCTCTGTCCAGACTTTCCCTCAGGGACCCTGGACTAAGGACTTTCAGGTGGAGGATTTAGGTAAACTCTGTGTTTTCTAAGACCTATCTGGCTCTCTACCCCGAAAGAAACACTGGTCGTCTTTTGTTTCCATTCTGAGATGTATTTTTCTTTCATTCTGCAGATGAGCCACCAGAAGATAACAACAGCACAGAGCCCCCTCCCCCAGAGGAAGTCACGGTAGACTCAGAGGTGGTGGCCGAGGAGAGCAGCAACCTGACCGTCAGCTGCAAGCACCCGCACAACGGCACCATCTACCAGGTCATCCTGGAGAAGATGCCGCACGGCCGTCCGTGGGTCATCATCGGCATCTGTAAGAAGGTGGAGGGGGGTCTGGTGAGCGAGGACTACAGCGAAAGGGGCAGGGTGAACTGCGCCGACAGCCTGGATCTCAGTCTGCACCTGACTGACGTTGCGTCAGGGGACGACGGTTTATATCGCTGCACCTTCAACACGGACGTGGGGGTGCAGACCACCGTTGTGCAACTCAGAACAGCTCCTCCAGGTACACAGAGCAACACGCCGGATGTGAAGTCAGCCCCTCAAACAGACGCCGTATCATTTCCCATGCTTATTGCCATTTGCACAAATACGCTGCAATGTAGCACATGTAGCGAAAGAAAAATGGCTTATGACACATTTAGGGGTGTGAAAACCACAGATTCCTGTTCATTGTTTCGACTCATGCTAGAGCAGCTGTACCGTGGTGTGCTGCTGGTCTGGTATGGTTTGATTTTTCAGGGTCGTGACATAAATTCACATGTCATTAGAAACAAAACAAAAAATCTGTCATTACATACGGGAGAATCCATGCAGTTGAATTTCAGGTGGTTTGCCTAATCTTGTCTACAGTCATGTTCAGTAAATTAGAATATGCATTCCGATGAAGCTCATTTGTTAGGTTAAAAGTACCTTTTGAAAATTGACAACCTTTAAATACACTCTTCATTTACGGCACATTGCTGAATTATCTTTATTGGTCTGATATGATATTCAAGCTTTATTTTTTATTTTTTTAGCTGTAAGTTGCAATTTATCATAATTAACAGAAATAAATTATTTAAAGCATCCATCTGTGCGTAATTAATCATCATGTGTTTTGTTTAGTGATGAAGTTCCTGAAATAAATGGACCTTTCAATAATATTCTAATTTATTGAATGGGCCTGCAGATATTCCATATTAAATTATTTCTCTTCTCCAACCAGGTGGATTCAGTCTGTCCCTATACATGCTGTATGTTTACATCGGAGCTGGAGCTGCCGGACTTGTTCTATTCATTTCCTTCCTCATACTTGCCCTGAGGCTAAGGTATTGTCAGTTAAGGCAATATATTATTGTTTTAAATTTGTGTGTGTGCGTTTTTTTTTTTTTTTTTTTTTTTTTTGTTTTCCTTTTGGGTCATAAGGGGACCTGTTTGGGTGACAATCATCACAGGAAAAAAAAGCGGCGGGAGGAGTACCGAGTTAAACTGCACCCCACTCAGAGACAGGTAGGCGTCAGTTTGTTCATTGTATCGACTCTCGTCTTTACTCTCGACTCCTTCAAAGCTCTCCCGCACCTCCTCATAAGATACGCGCTTAACTACAAAGGTGTTCCACTTTACAACTAACGTTAAAGCCACACGTCCCATCTGATACGGAGAGCTTGACTTGTTGCTCGCCACCCCCAGCTGTGCAGTTTGAAGAATCTGGAAGAGAGCTGGTGTCAAAAGCGTTCAGATTTTAAAAGGAATAAATAAATAACACAATCATCCATTAGCCATGAATTTTGTTGTATTGACATCTGCAGGACCTCCAAAAAGTTACCATGCTCTTCACTTTTACATGTTGCCGCAGTAAAATCACAAAACTCGATATATTCCACTGGGATTATGTGATGCACCGAAATCTGAAAGTGTGTTTGTACTCAACCCCCTTTAAGGCCTTCACACAACTCTGTAAAAATAGAGAAATATGTTTTCCTTTTGTTTCTTTAGACTTCTTTCTGCTGCCTTTTGCTAGAAAACAAGTTTCTCTATTCTTCAGGAGTTGGTGCAGGGCTTTACTCTGATGATCCTACACTACAGTAGGTGGTGGCAGCATTATGCTGTAAGGATGTTGTTCTACAGCAGGAACAGGGGAACATATCAGTCTCAAAATGGGGTGGACATTTATCCTCCAGAAATGAGAATTCTAAGCATAAAGCCAGAGCTACAAAGCAGCGGTTTTAATCAGATCCTATTCGCGTGTCAGGAGAGAAAAGAATGTGTCAAGACTTCAAAATCGCTTTCACTCCGGTCTGACTGAGTTTGTGAAGAAAAGACAGAATCTTCCCACTGTGTAAAGTTGGTAGACGCATACTCCAAAAGAGCTGTAACAGCAGCAAAAGTGCTGAAAATAAATGCACGCCACACTTTTCAGAATGTAACTTTTTTTTTTTTTTTTTTAATGCCATGTGTGTTTTGTCACGCAGCACTTTTTTCGGTTCATCACATATTTTTCTAAAATACCTTTAAGTTTATAGTAATCATGTGGCAACGTGTGCTAAAAAAAAAAAAAATTGAGAGGCGTGAATGCTTTTGAAAGGCCGCTGCATTTTTCCTTCATTAACCAATCGGCTGCACTGCTGGTGAAAACCTGTCATGTTTGTCTGTTACCTTACAGTCTACTAACATCCACTACTACCTCCTCACAGCCGAATATCTATGAGAACGTCCCTCTGTGTCCCAGGATTGTGAAGAAATCCAAGCAGACTAAAAGCTTCCCCATCTATGCCAACCTGCCGGCCGGGCGCTCGCTCCAAACCAAACGTCAGCCTCAGGACAAAAAAAGAAAAGGCGCGCTGTAACTCCATGTCACTTTCTCACATCTGTCA